AGGAGAGGGAACAGCCAGGAGCTGGTCTGAGCTACTGGATAAGGGAAGTTGAAGCTGGTGGCTGAGGATACTGTAGACACAGGGACACCCACGGCTGCAGCGCTGGAAGGTCATGCTCTCTTTTTTTCACTTTTGGCAGTGGCTGTGAGAAGAAACACATTACTAGGAATCTTGGGGCGGGTCTTGGATTTCCTTGGAGGGTACACGCCAACCGTATCTGGGCTTCCTGGGGATAGGAGTCCCCAGCAGACATATGTGTTACAGAAACAATAACGTGTGTTAAATTGCTTGAAGAATATTCTGTCCATTCCAGATCATTAAATAATTTTATCTTTGAATCAATCCAGACCTCAGAAAGCTGAGAGGAAGGATCAGCCTGCTAGCAGAATTCAGTTCAGTTCAGTCACTCAGTCGTGTCCAACTCTTTGCGACCCCATGAATCGCAGCACGCCAGGCCTCCCTGTCCATCACCAATTCCCAGAGTCTACCCAAACCCATGTCCATCGAGTCGGTGATGCCATCCAGCCATCTCATCCTCTGTTGTCCCCTTCTCCTCCTGCCCTCAATCTTTCCCAGCATCAGGGTCTTTGCCAATGAGTCAACTCTTTTCATGAGGTGGCCAAACTATTGGAGTTTCAGCTTCAACATCAGTCCTTCCAATGAACACTCAGGATTGATCTCCTTTTGGATGGACTGGTTGGATCTTCTTGCAGTCCAAGGGACTCTCCAGAGTCTTCTCCAACACCACAGTTCAAAAGCATCAATCTTTTGGCGCTCAGCTTTCTTCACCATCCAATTCTCACATTCATACATGACTATTGGAAAAACCATAGCCTTGACTAGACAGACTTTTGTTGGCAAAGTAATGTCTCTGCTTTTAAATATGCTATCTAGGTTGGTCATAACTTTCCTTCCAAGGAGTAAGCGTCTTTTAATTTCATGCCTGCAATCACCATCTGCGGTGATTTTGGAGCCGCCAAAAATAAAGTCTAACACTGTTTCCACTGTTTCCCCATCTATTTCCCATGAAGTGATGGAACCAGATGCCATGATCTTAGTTTTCTGAATGTTGAGCTTTAAGCCAACTTTTTCATTCTCCTCCTTCACTTTCATCAAAAGGCTTTTTAGTTCCTCTTCACTTTCTGCTGGAAGGGTGGTGTCATCTGCATATCTGAGGTTATTGATTTTTCTCCTGGCAATCTTGATTCCAGCTTGTGCTTCTTCCAGCCCAGCGTTTCTCATGATGTACTCTGCATATAAGTTAAATAAGCAGGGTGACAATATACAGCCTTGATGTACTCCTTTTCCTATTTGGAACCAGTCTGTTGTTTCATGTCCAGTTCTAACTGTTGCTTCCTGACCTGCAATCAGGTTTCTCAAGAGGCAGGTCAGGTGGTCTGGTATTCCCATCTCTTTAAGAATTTTCCACAGTTTATTGTGATCCACACAGTCAAAGGCTTTGGCTAGCAGAATTACTGCTATGCAGTTGAGCTGGAACATTAGGGCTGCATTTAAGGAGACCGTAAGAAACAAGCCACAGCAAATTCCCTGGCCGTCCAGTGGTTAGGACTCCACGCTTTCACTGCCAGATTGGGTTCAATCCCTGGTCAGGGAACTAAGATCCCACAGGCCATGTGATGTGGCAAGACGAACCAACACAAACAACCGTATGTGTAACCCATTACTACACTTCCTGATTTGCTGCAGGGGTATTTACTGACGGGGGCTCATGGGAGAAACGCCTTGTGTGTCTCACTGCTGGACACTGCTTGATTGCATCAGGGCTCGGTCACACCACGAGGGCTCTTTTACTGTGGCATGCAGAGTCCCTAGTTGTGGTTCGCAGGCTCAATACTTGCAGCGAGGTGTCTTAGTTGCCCCATGGCATGTGGGATCTTCATTCTCCGACTAGGAATTGAACTCATGTTCCCTGTGTTGCACGGTGGATTCTTAACCACTGGACCACAGGGGAAGTCCCTATTGGACACTTTAAAATAAAAGTTTTCTTCTAGGGACTTCCCTGGTGGTCCAGTGATTAAGACTCCAAGCTCCCTATCAGGGGACCCGGGTTTGATACCTGGTCAGGGAACTAGATTCCACATGCCACAACTAAGACTTGATGGAGCCAAAAAAAAATGTTTCTTCTAGAAAAAAATGATATTTTAATAAAAAATGACACTGAATCTTATAACTAATAACTACTTATATCCACCACCACCCTGTTGGTTGCTAAAAGCCCCTGGGCAAATTTGGAGGCCACCTCTGACACCTGTGCAGAGCTTAGTGACCCTCAGTTTGACAGCATACTTACCTCTGGCTTCATCTTGTCTTACTCTCACTTTCCTTTTGCAACAACGGCCTCATTCATTTTGAAAGGTGCTGGATGCTACACAGCTCTACAAGCTGCCACCAGTAACTTCTCAAGCAGGGCAAAGTGTAAGGAAAAGAAATGAATCCACTCACCAAGTTATATTATCTCTAATTCCCAAGCCAGTGTGCTTTTCACTTGAAAGAATGGAAAGCTGAAGATAAGCTATCTTCCTCCTGCAATGTGTTGACAAGCCTCCACCCACCCCTCCTTCACTGCTCCCTAATAAGTACTTGCTGCTGTTTTTAGCAAAGTAATTTATGGGGCAGTGTTTTGGATCAAAATCATGCTAGTGTGCATGCACACTCACATACTCTGCTTATTAAGTGAACTGAAAATCCATTACCTCCCGCTGCAGGATTCAGAAATACAAAGCCCTTAACTCTTCCAGGTGTGTATGCTTCTTATTTCTGTAGTGCATTTTTGTAACACATTGTCTATAAATAATGTAAGTACTTCCCCCTACTTTGCTTGTTTTCTTATGTTTGGTATCTATGAGACAAAGAATGTTTTATAAATTAGAGGTGAAATTATATAGGAAAACATTCTTGTGATACATTATAATCTAAGCATCACAGTAAGTACTGAAGTTCCCCTTAACCATGCTTTTCCTCCACTCCACTGCCTCCCAGGGCTGGCCACTGTTATCAATGTGCTGCATATCCTTCTAGACTGTCATCTATACTTTTGCAAATACATGCATGTATCTATAGCAACGTGCTGGCTGTATTATGGATGTTAAATTTGCTTTCTGCTATACATGTCCTACTCTTCTACCTCTTGCATTTTTTCCTGAACAGAATGTCTTAGAGCATTTTTCCTGCTTCAGAGGAAGAGCTCTTTTCTAGGTTAACTTCTCCAAACAGCCTCTTCTAGCCCCTAACTGCTGTTCTTCCACCTTCATCTTTTGTCAATGGCACTTCCAAAAACCTAAACTGCAGGTCATAAAGGGATTCAGAAAAGCTGACTACACAAATGTGACCACCTCATAGGGTTGCTATGCTGGAATATGAGACTAAATCTATATTAGTTACTCTTATTAGTCTTTAAAAAATATTTATTTGGTTGTGCTGGGTCTTAGTTGCTACAGAGATCTAGTTCTCTGACCAGGGATCAAACCAGGGCCCCCTGCATTAGGAGTGCAGAGTGTTAGCCACTGGACCACCAGGAAGTCGCACTATTAGTAGTCTTGATCTGAGGTCCATTCTTTGAACAATTATTGATTGGTTCTCTACAAGGCACTGTTCCAGGCACTGGGGATATATCCATGAGCAAAAAGGGCAATCTCTACCTCTCTGGTGTCTTAAGGGGAGGCAGAAGATTAAAAGATAAATAAAATGGGAGGTGGGAGGAGGTGCAAGAGGGAAGGGACATACATATACCCATGACTGATTCATATTTATGTATGGCAGCAACCAATACAATATTGTAAAGCAACTATTCTCCAACTAAAAATAAATAAATTTAAATTAAAAATAAATAAAACAAATAGTATGTTGGTTACAGATAAATGTTACAGAGAAAAATTAGAGAGAACTGAAGAGTGGGGGTTTCCAAGAAATCAGATTTAAACACGGATAATGGAAGCCCTGTGGAGAAAGGGACCATCTGAGCCCAACTGTGCCTCTAATTTGTACAGATAGTTAGTAGCTTCTTTCTCAGAGAGAGAGAAAAGAGTTAAGTGAGGCACTTCCCACAGTCTTTCTCATCGTTCAGCCCTCCCAAGTTGGCTCAGCCTCCCCAACTTGACTGTTGAGCAATTCTCTTCTGAGGGGTCAGGATGGTCACACTGCAGACAGCACGCCCCCAAACCACTTAGCTGTTTTCTCTTTCTGGCTTCCTTTTTTGGGCACTCGCACTTTTAAAAGGAATCAAAGTACTTCTCTTGACTATTATCTTGAAAAATCCTTATTAAAATCTCTTAAGGGAATTCCCTGGCGATCCAGTGGTTAAGACACCTTACTTCCACTGCAGAGGGCACGGTTTTGCTCCGTGGTTGGGGAACTAAGATCCTGCCAAGCCATAAGGCACAGCAAAAAAAAAAAAAAAAGAATTCTGATGCCTGTGTCTCACTCACAGAGAACCAAATTTCATTGATCTGGAGAATGGCCTGGGCATTGGGATTTTTAAAAAGTTTTCCAAGCAGTTGTAATGTATAGCCAGGGATGAAAACTACTATTTTACAGCCCACTGGCTCTCGTGTTTAACAAATGACCACAGGTTCCCAACTAAAGGCCAGTTCAGCCAGAAAGTAAGACTAGGATATCCTATAATCAGCCAGTTGCTACTACTACTAATTAGAGACCTTTATTACAGTCTAGAGTCATAAAGATGAAAATGAGGTCTCATACTTTTCTTGAGAGTAGGTAAATCAGCAAGAATTAAGTAAACTGTTCTCCTGAGTTTTGTGAGCTGCTCTCACAAATGATTGAATCCAAGGAGCAGGTCATTTGTAGTCCTTTGTAGGGAACATTTTTATGAGTAGTCAAGTTGCACAGAAGCTTTGCGTAATCTGGGGACCTACTGCTTACAACAGGCAACTGAAGAGGGGTGCATCTGAGTCTTGTGGTACTGAGCCCTTAACGTGTGGGATTCTGGTCCTTAGTGTCAGAACTGAACTGAACTGCTGGACATGCAGCTGGTGTTGGAGAATTGGTTGGCATGGGAAAAAAACGACACACCTGGTGTCAGAAGTACTGTGTGTGAGGATAAAGGAGAACAAACACAAGGTTGTTTTCCTGAGACACCTTCCCAGAATTGTGACAAGAAAGACTACTTGGAAATATATTTCAAATATAGTTCAGTTCAGTCATTCAGTTGTGTCCCACTCTGTGCGACCCCGTGGACTGCAGCACGCCAGGCCTCCCTGTCCATCACCAACTCCCCGGGTTTATTCAAATTTGTGCCCATTGAGTCAGTGATGCCATCCAGCCATCTCATCCTCTGTTGTCCTCTTCTCCTCCCACCTTCAATCGTTCCCAGCATCAGGGTCTTTTCCAACGAGTCAGTTCTTCACATCAGGTGACCAAAGTACTGGAGTTTCAGCTTCAACATCAGTCCTTCCCATGAACACTCAGGACTGATCTCCTTTAGGATGGACTGGCTGGATCTCCTTGCAGTTCAGGGACTCTCAAGAGTCTTCTCCAACATCACAGCTCAAAAGCATCAATTCTTCGGTGCTCAGTCCACCTCTCACATCCATACATGACCACTGGAAAAACCATAGCCTTGACTACATGGACCTTTGTTGTCAAAGTAATGTCTCTGCTTTTTAACACACAGCCTAGGTTGATCATAGCTTTTCTTCCAAGGAGCAAGCGTCTTTTAATTTCATGGCTGCAATCACCTTGTGCAGTGATTTTGGACCCCAAGAAAATAAAGTCTCTTACTGTTTCCATTGCTTCCTCATCTATTTGCCATGAAGTGATGGGACCAGATGCCATGATGTTAGTTTTCTGAATGTTGAGTTTTAAGCCAACTTTTTCACTCTCCTCTTTCACTTTCATCAAGAGGCTTTTTAGTTCTTCTTCATTTTCTGTCATAAGGGTGGTGTCTTCTGCATATCTGAGATTATTGATATTTCTCCTGGCAATCTTGATTCCAGCTTGTGCTTCATCCAGTCCAGCCTTTCTCATGACATACTCTGCATATAAGTTAAATAAGCAGGGTGACAATATACAGCCTTGACGTACTACTTTTCGTATTTGGAACCAGTCTGTTGTTCCATTTCTAGTTCTAACTGTTGCTTCTTGACGTGGATACAGATTTCTCAAGAGACAGGTCACGTGGTCTTGCATTCCCATCTCTTTCAGAGTTTTCCACAGTTAATTGTGATCCACACAGTCAAAGGCTTTGGCATAGTCAATAAAGTAGAAATAGATGTTTTTCTGGAACTCTCTTGCTTTTTCAATGATCCATCAGATGTTGGCAATTTGATCTCTGGTTCCTCTGCCTTTTCTAAAACCAGCTTGAACATCTAGAAGTTCATGGTTCTCGTATTGGTGAAGCCTGGCCTAGAGAATTTTGAGCATTACTTTACTAGCATGTGTGATGATTTCCTCATCACCATAAAGCTATTTGTTACAAATCTAATTCTTGTCATTTTGGGACAGTTTTTGAGAATGGTACCAACATCTCTGACATCTCTATCTATACTAAAGGATACACAATACAGGGTAGGACAAAAATGGGCCAATAAAAAATTATCTATTCATGTTCATTTATATTTCTATAAATATATTTATACTGTATATGAAATATATGGATAGAAACATACATGATATATTTTTATAATATTTCCATTTTACATCACATACATTTATATTTTATGCTATATTTCAGTTTACATATTTAAATTATAGATTTTATTTATTTATTTATATCATATATAGGACTATATATATTTCTATAATTTTAGTTCTTGGGCTTCTGACTACATTTTTACATATCTGATATTTCAAACAGAATTGCTCTAAAAGCAGTCATAAATTACTATGCCTTAGTATGCTCTAAGAACCCTAAAGAAAAAATTGATCTCTTTTCATTGTTAACATTCCAATGACTCCACCTAAGGCAGTCTTGAAAAATTACTGTTGCCATGCCAACCGCTTAATGAAGAGGTCTACTATTGTTTTCTTCCCTGTTTGTCTCAACTCTGCAAGAAATTTCAAAAACGATTTAGATCAATTAAATACTGCCTCCAAAACATCGTCTTTTGGATTTTCACTTTTTTTTTCATTGTTGTTCATATCCTAAACATAAGTGTTGGGTTAATTCATTCTAAAAAAGCTTGAATTCTGGTGTCAGAATTCAAAGTATCTGGCTGTATTCATTTGCATATTCAACCAAAAGGACCCCCTGGAGAGCCAGAAGTCCATAAACCTGGATTCCTCCCCTCTGCTATCCACTGGCTATGTGTCCTTGAGCAAGTCACTCATCTTATCTGTGCCAAGTATAAATACACAGGGAAAGCCAGACTAAAAAGTTTTTAAAAGATCCAAAGCAAAAATGAGAAAAATAAGGACAATGTAACAAATTTTTCCGGAGAAGGCAATGGCACCCCACTCCAGTACTCTTGCCTGGAAAATCCCATGGACAGAGGATCCTGGTGGGCTGCAGTCCATGGGGTTGCTAAGAGTCGGACACAACTGAGTGACTTCACTTTCACTTTTCACTTTCATGCACTGGAGAAGGAAATGGCAACCCACTCCAGTGTTCTTGCCTGGAGAATCCCAGGGATGAGGGAGCCTGATGGGCTGCCGTCTGTGCGGTCGCACAGAGTCGGACATGACTGAAGTGACTTGGCGGCGGCAGCAGCAGCAACGAATTTTTCACAGAATTAAATGTATTCAGTTTAGAGGATTACCCATTACTTAGAGATTATGCCCTTTCATTTATGAAATGGCCATCATAGGCCACAGTCATGGTTATATTTCTAATGGGTTTATTGGCAAACTTATATTGAGATTCAAATTTCTTGGAAATATTTTTTTTTTGGCAGTGCCATGCAGCTTTCAGGATTTTAGTTCCTCGAGCAGAGGTTGAACCTGGGCCACAGCAGTGAAAGAGTCCTAACCACTGGTCCACCAGGAATCCCTTGTAAATGTTCTTAGTATATAAACTCCCAAAGTTTGGGAAGCACTGCACTATAATATTTTAATTGTAAAAGTAACATACACGTGTTAAAGATTCAAACAGTACTATTGGGTATAAAATTAAAAATAAAACTAACTCTTCTCCACATTAACCCCAACCACGGTCTCCACAGTAATCACTATTAGTAATTTAATATGAAATATCTGAGAAATTGTTACATTTATGCAAACAGTTATATATTCATTTCCTAGAGGGGATAGTGATACTACTACTTTGTAACATGATTTGTCCTAATGATGAGATTCTACTGCTTTCAGGCCCTTTATTTTAAAATCCTAAATTTTCTTTGATCTTCTAAAATTGTACTAGGTTCCTACTAAGCACTGAATTCCATGACTATTATGGGAAGGGATGGGCAGACAGGCCGGATGCACCAGGAAAGGAAAGATCATGTAGAAAAGAGGAGTAAGACGGCCAACAAATTAGTAATCTGGAAGGAAGGTGAAAATAAGTATGGAAATAACTCTACTATTGATTTATTCATGTTCATTCATTCATTCATAATGAAAAAGGGCTTACACATCTGTGAGGCAAGATGGAGAAACTGAGGGAAAAGTCAGCCACTATTTCACAGCCAGTAAATCTTCCTCTGACGTAATTCTGTGCTCTATATCCTCCTTCCATTCCCAGGAGGAAATGATAACCCACTCCAGTATTCTTGCCTAAAAATTCCCATGGACAGAGGAGCCTGGTGGGCTACAGTCCATGGGGTCGCAAAGAGGTGACTGAGCACACATTCATGCCACCTAACACAGAAATGCCGATAATGCCTATGACTGAGACTGCTTCTTCTTTCAACTCCTTATCAATTTTCCAACCAGTGTGACGAATATATTTCCTGATCACTCTGGGAGCTGAGCGTTCTGTGATCAGGTTCTGGAAATAAGACAAAAGTAGTGACCTGTGCAACTGCTGAGTCAGGCCCTAGACGGAAGGAATAGACCCTCCAATTTCTGTTTATCCCTTTCTTACAGGAATGTGGATATGGATAATGTTGTTACCTGAATGGGTATCAGTGAGGAGGGTGGATGAACCTCTGGAATGAGATAAAGGTGGATAAAGAAGTTTACCTGTAAAATTTTTCTTAAAAAAACTTTAAGCAAATATGAAAAATGTTAGCTACTATTCATTGTGGTTGTGTGGGTACCTGAATATTTATTTTTAAAAATTCTTTGTGCATCTCCGTGTTTTCCAATTTTTAGATGTATAATTTAAAAATAAATTATAGTACATTCATCAGTTGGACTACTTACATCAATTTTAGATGACATTTTAGATAAATAGCTACTGATATGGGGAAATATTCATAATAAATAAAAAATACTTGAACAATTTTCTGATAGACCTAAGAGAGATTAAGAATGGGAAAGCTGGAGTTACCCACTTAGCTCACTGATTAGCCCAATAATCTTTTACTAGATATTTTAAAAAATCCAGTCTAAAAATAATTAAAAGTAGTTTCAACCAGGAGATCTTTGAATTGGCTTGTTAACAGATCTCTTCTCTTAGAGTAGGCCTAAAAGAAAAGAGACTTATACCCTAAGTCTGATAGAGAAGTTGCTTTAACATCAGTAGGATCCCCCCCACACACACCCCTTTTTATTAATCTACAAACTGACTGAGAATATTAACATGTCACTAATAGCTATAGGTGGCTTCTTCTATGGTTTATAAATACTCTATGATGTGTATTATTATTTTTATAATCAGAACAAAGTTCCATTTTTCAAAGCAAAAAGAAATATCCAAACGCCTAAAAATATCTTAAATTTTAGTGATCATTTTACATTAATCAAAAACACCAATGGATTATGGCCGAGTCCCTTTGCTGTTCACCTGAAACTATCACACATTGTTAATCGACTGTACTCCAACACAAAATAAAAACTTAAAAAACAAAAACAATAGAAGTTACACTAGTTATGTTGCTTGGTTTCACTTAAGAGGACAGGAATCTGTACTCTCAGCTAGGCCTAGATGTTGCTAGGAGCTGGCCTTGGTATTCTCCTGTTAAGCATAAAGAATTTCACAAAACAGAAGGCGATAAGAACCCCGTCCAAAAGGGTGCCAGAGTCAAAAATAAGTGTTCACCAAATTTTGGGACATGTACCACTAAAATTGAACAGTTGATGCTGTCAAGAAATATATTTGAAGAGAAAATTTGCCTAAATCAAAGGATTTCAAACCTCTTGGGCCTAGACCCACATGAAAAAATACATCTTATGTTGAGACCCAATACATATATACACGTATAAATTTAACACAAAAGTTCCATGAAACAATGCTCATCTTTACTACATGTGATTCTATTTTCTTTTGTATCTTATTTCATTTTTAATAAAGTTGGTCACTACTCACTAAATTGTTTCTCAATTCTCAGTTTGAAAAGCACTGTGATACCAGGTTTTGGACTTATGCAAAATTCAATTAATTAACTGAAATGGAATTAGCCGTAATCTAATTAAGAGAAATGAAGAAGGGCTTCCCTGGTGGTCCAGTGGTTAAGAATCCACCCTGCAATGCAGGGGATATTGGTTCCATCCCTGGTGCCACATGCCGTGGAGCAATTAAGCTCATGCACCACAAATAACAGCCTGTGAGCTACAGCTACTGAGCCCACATCCCACAACTACTGAAGCCCACTTCCCCACAATAAGAGCCATCGCAATGAGAAGCCCATGAACCAAAACTAGAGTAGCCCCGGATCACTGCAACTAGAGAAGGCCTGTGCACAGCCACGAAGACCCAGCACAGCCAAAAATAAACAAGTGATTTATAAAAAGAGAGAGAGAGATGAAGAAAGCTTCATCTCATCCATTCATTCATCAAGAATTATCAAGTGAGGCTCTGTTCTGAGAGCTGGGGTTAGCAAAATGATGTCCCCCACCTCATAGAGCTTTCATTATAGAACTCTGTTGCCCAATAAAGTTACTAGCCATGGATACTTATGTTTAAATTAATTAAAGTGAAACAGAAGTAAACATTCGGTTGCATAGTCACACTAGCCACAGTTCAAGTGCACTTGTGGTCTAGTGGCTGTGGTGCTGGACACAGCAGATAGAGAACATTTCCACCATCACATAAAGTTCTTTTAGACAGTTCCGCCCTAAAGCAAAGAAAACATAAGCTCGGATGTACTCCTGTGGCCATTCCTCTCTACTGGCTGCCTGCAAGATGGATGTGATGGCTGGAGTTCCAGCACCTATTATAGACCATATGGATGATGGAGAAGAAAGGAAGAGACTGGATCTGCGATGCCTATGAGCCACCATGGCTTCATAATTTCAGTCTGACTGCACCCCTCAACAATGAAAAAATGTTGACTACCACATCAGTAATCAAAGGATGTTGCAGTCATCAAGCCACTACAGCCACCTTGGACAGTGAACCTGGAGTGAACTCACGCATCTTCCCATACAAAGAAAAGCTCTACTTTCCTTACCTTGAGATACTTGGTTATCTTTAGCTAACACTAATCTTTTAATGTTCCCACTACTGGTCATTGTTGCAAGATCTCCTATTATCCTGGCTCCTGCTTATCTAACTTATATGCAGAGTACATCACGTGAAATGCCTGGCTGGATGAAGCACAAGCTGGGATCAAGATTGCCAGGAGAAATATCAATAACCTCAGATATGCAGATGAAACCATCCTTATGGCAGAAAGTGAAGAGGAACTAAAAAGCCTCTTGATGAAAGTGAAAGAGGATAGTGAAAAAGCTGGCTTAAAGCTCAACATTCAGAAAACTAAGATCATGGCATCTGGTCCCATCACTTCATGGCAAATAGATGGGGAAATAGTGGAAACACTGACAGACTTTATTTTCTTGGGCTCCAAAATCTCTGCAAATGGTGACTGCAGTCATGAAATTAAAAGACTCTGGCTCCTTGGAAGAAAAGCTATGACCAACCTAGACAGCATATTAAAAAGCAGAGACATTACTTTGCTGACAAAGGTTCATCTAGTCAAAGTTATGGTTTTTCCAGTAGTCATGTATGAATGTGAGAGTTGGACTACAAAGGATGAGTGCCAAAGAATTGATGCGTTTGAAGTGTGGTGTTGGAGAAGACTCTTGAGAGTCTCTTGGACTTTATGAAGACCAAATCAGTCAATCCTAAAGGAAATCAGTCCTGAATATTCATTGGAAGGACCGGTGCTGAAGCTGAAGCTCCAATACTTTGGCCACCTGATGGGAAGAACTGACTCACTGGAAAAGACCCTGATGCTGGGAAAGATTGAAGGCAGGAAGAGACGGGGAATGTGAGCTTTCCCATAAAAAGAAAAGCTCTACTTTCCTTAACTTGAGATACTTGGTTATTTTTAGCTAACACTAATCTTTTGATGTTCCCACTAACTGGTCTTTGTTGCAAGAACTCCTACCTATCCTGGCTCCTGCTTATTTAACATATATGCAGAGTACATCACGTGAAATGCTGGGAGGATGAGATGGTTGAATGGCATCACCGACTCAGTGGACAAGAGTTTGAGCAAAATCCAGGAAGTGGTGATGGACAAGGAAGCCTGGTGGGCTGCAGGCCACGGGGCTGCAAAGAATTGGACACAACTGAGCAACTGAACAGAACTGATCCTGGCTCCTCCCTTACTTCTTTGGAGCAGATTGTCAGAGCTATA